AAATTGATAGTTAGTTCATTGCACAATCATAGGAGGGAAAAAGACTACGATAATTCAGTTGTACTTCTTACTTGCTGAGTATTTAAACCCCTATTTTGACTTTGCAGGGAAGTGCCAAGGCCAGGATTTGAGGCATTTGGCCTAGCAGTTTGATTTTGCAATCCTCGGACTTGGAGGTTATCCATCTGTGACCTATATATAAATGAAGAGATCATATTATAAAACCTTTCCATAATTGGTAGTCTCTCTTAAGCAGTAAAAGTTAATGGTGTTCAACCACAACAGCTAGAAGTCAATCAGTACCGAGGCACGAAGTTCTCTTGTTGGACATTGTCTATGTTAGGAATTACAGCAGCTCGATCGACTTGTCCTTGATTAGAAAAATATTGACTCCTGAATCCAAAATCATTTGCAAACAATATATTTAGCTTGTTGGGTTCATGTTCAAGCTATGATGTTTGTTTCCTGATTGAAAAACTAATTTTTTTTATATATAGAAAATACTAAACATGAAAAATTGGATACCGGGGAGCAGGAAAAGAAGGTCCAGGTTGAATGTGGTTGCCACAAAGTTCTGAAGTGGTTGCGTTTGATGTCATATAGCCATGTCCCGGCTGTGGTTGATGAGTATTGGAGTACTGATGCCTGAATAATATTCAAATAGTTAGACTTGGAACTGTTATTCTAACTTGGTTGATGTTCATAATTCTTTCCATTATGTGCACACAAAAAAAAAGAGAGATAGAGAGCTCAAAAAGACTTGAAAGATCCTCGTCAATTTTTCAAGTTTATTGTTTTCATGATTAAAAGAGTGTATATGTATTCGAGGTTAATACCATTGATTCATCGCAGGCACTTGATTGCTCATTGGTAACTGATAATTAGTCCATTGTTGGTCCCTAAATAAGCAACATTTGTTAGTGATTTCTTCATACATATGCATAATTCTTTGCTATTAATCCACTAAACATTTGATATCATTTTAGCTTACCTCAAAGGATTGGCGCATTGAGGATGAAATAAATTAGGCAGATACCTATATTCAAACATAATGAATTCATTTAGTGTGAACAAGAAGAAGAAGTTAAATAATGATGAATATTATGATAATAAGAAAAATTAACTGTAGAATAACTAAATTGCAAGAAATCATCTTCTGATAAAATATGCTTAAGAATGACGTACAAGAGAAGCTCAGATTTATTGAATGAATCTTCTGGTAATTGAAAATCGAACTGATTCGATGTCAAGTTGACATCATCCTCATTAAAAGACGGTTGGACTCCTTCCATCTGAGGTTTAAGAAAGAACAGAAAGCACAGATTAGATATGTGTGTGTGTGTGTCTATATATATATATATATATGACTTATTTGTTAAAGAGATTCAGATGAAAAATAGGAAATATAAATGTTGCTGTTAATGATTTAATTCTTTGTTTTAATGCTAAATGTTGATTTATTTGTCACTTGTTGTAAACAAGTTTAATGAAAGGTAATTAATACTGATCAAGTTAATTCATGAATGAGTAAGAGACAATTTCATTGAATCATTATGTCAGAAAATATTGGATAAAAATAATTAATGGCAGTCCCACAGGGCATGGATTCCAAAATCTAGTATTGGAAAAGAAATCCCATATATAAGGAGTTAAAAACAGCAAAGAATTTTGAAAAGACAAAAACAATGAATTCAAGGTTTAGGGTTAATTTACTAGGCATGGATTACAAAATCTGAGAAAAAGATCGATTTATTTATCATGGATTACTTTAAAGATTCAGACAAGATGGAGTACAATTAATTTACCTGGATTCAAGATGTTCTTCAAGTGCTTGCTGGTTTGCTTAAGCAGTGATCAGCCAAAAGAAAAGGAAGAGAAATCACAGATCAGAGAAGAATTTATGGCTTAGAAAAATAATAAATATGCAGTATACATAAATCTAGTTCGCACAGATCATGAGATGAGATGTGGAAGAGAACGTTACATACTATTATTAGTAAGCTCACCTCAATAATAATTAATTTTCGTATTGTTGGACAGGAAGGAAGTTGCGAGGAAGCAACCCAAACATTACATTATAAGATATAGAAAGTTAACGTGTGGACCCGCCCCAATGTTGTCATTTCGAAGAAGCTGTCAAGAAAATGTAAACACATGGATATGAGACAGAATAGCATATGTCTGTATTTCTGCATTGTGTACAGGTTTTTTTTTAATATATTTTTTATTTAAAAATATATTAAATAATTTTTGAATTTTTTTTTATATTGCCACGTAAAAAAATTCAAAAATATTAATTACGAACAGTCAATTGATATAGTTTTATAGGTTTTTAATTAGTCTAACTGATTTGAGTCATGTCATGGTTAATGGTTATCAGAACAACTAACACCCCGATAAAAATAATAATAATTTCACAGTTGAACAATGCTTTTTAAAAACCTTGATATTTTTTTATTTTAAATTAAATTTTTTAATATTTTTAGATTATTTTTACATTTTAATGTTAAAAACATTTAAAAAATAAAAAAATATTTTATTATATTTTTAAATAAAAAATAATTATTACCACACCATCAAACATTATCTTATTTTATGATACTATACTTAAACTTTTCCACACCAATGGAAATTATTATTTTTTCCAACACCCTTCTACAAATTTATATTCTTAGCCCTTGACCAAAGTATGATTTGCTAGCCAACTTGCACATTAGTTTCCGATTAATACAAAGATGATCGTGTTTTTTTGTTGCCAAATAATTATTATCACACCATCAAATATTATCTTATTCTATGATATTATACTTAAACTCTTCCACACCAATGAAAATTATTATTTTTTCCAACACCCTTCTACAAATTTATATTCTTATCCCTCGACCTATAAAGTATGATTTGCTAGCCAATCTGCACACTAGTTTCCGATTAATAAAAAATGATCGTGTTTTTTTGTTGCCAAAATTGTCGGCCAATAATTTTTTTTTTCATTTTTTAATGATTTTTTTATCTCAAATTCATAAATTAAAAAATTAACAAAATAAAATTTTAAATTAAAAATAAAAATCAAAATAAAAATGCAAAAACTCTAGGGAACAGAATTTTGAAAAACACACCAGGCTACTTTTTTATTTCAGATATTTGGTGTTCAATGTTTCAATTATTTTTAATGAATTAAATTGAATAAAATTTTATCAAATCAAATACCAACTTAAATTAATCGTTGAAGCTGTTTTTTTTTTTTTTGTTTACCTTGAGAACTTCATAATTAAGTATAATAAATTATTAACCTCAAATTCTCAAATTCTCATGAATATAAAATTAAAAATAAAATAATCAGCTTAAATAATAATTAATTAACATATTGCCGGGTAATAAGGAAGTTGTCAGGAAGCAACCCCCCGCTCTACCAAACATGAGAGTGTTTTGTTTGGAGATTATTTTGGTTTATTTTTTTATGGGCATATAAAAAATATATATTTTTAATTTTAAAAAATATAATTTATATTTTAAAAAATTATTTTTTAATAAAAAAACTATCACATCTCCATACCAAACATATATTATATTATAAGATATATAAAGTTAAGGTGTGGACCCCACCAATGTTACAACTTCGAAGAAGCTGCCAAGAAAATGTAAACACATGGAATTTTCAAAATAAAATAGTATATTTATGCATGCTGTAAATGTTTTTTAAAAATATTTTTTACTTTTTATATGATAATATCAAAATAATTAAAAAATATTAAAAATATATTTTTAAAAAACTCATTGGGATTGCAAAGATAAACCAGTTCTAACGTTTAAATTGTTTTAAAAATATTTTAAAAATATAAAAATAAAAAGGGTTTAAGGTGTATTGGGTAGTTTTTATCCTTCTGCCTTTGAGAGTGTCCATCAGAGCAGAGTGATTTTACATAACCATGAAATTTTTATGAGACAAATTATAATGATTTTTTTTATTTTACTAATATACCCAAGCTGTTTATAACTAGATGCTACTTGCTGAGGTGGATATTAGCAACAGAGGAAAGCATACAAAAGTAAACAAAAAAAAAGGATAGCAAAGACGGAAGCATATCAAGCTAACAAAATCAACCCCACCAATTCTCAAATATTCAGATTTTAAAAAACACATGGAAATAATAATTTAAGAAGAAACATGTTTTCAAGCTGTGTCAAATGGAGAATGCTTTAATTAATACGAGGAAAATCTTGTTGATAATATAGTTCGGTATAGCGTACTGCCAGTTAAAAATTACAATCATTATTGATTTTTAATGTATTTTTTATTTAAAAATATATAATAATTTTACAGTTGAATCATGTTTTTAAAAACAATTTATATTTTTTATTTTAATTTAAAATTTTTATATTATTTTGACATTTTAATGTTAAAAATAAATTTTAAAAAATAATAAAAATATTATTTTAAATAAAAAAATACAATTTTTATCACACTATTAAACAATATCTTATTTTTTGATTGTATACATGAACTTTTCCCCACCAATGGATTTTTTTTAAAAGAACAGAAAGCACATAGCAAAGAATATATATATATATATGAGTGGATTACTGGGTACACACGTTACGTAAGTCAAAATAACAGAAAAACAAATAAATGGTGAAAAGCATATTTTAATGGCAGTCCCATTAATTGGAAAAGAAAAGGGTGAATCTAAAATAAGGAGTTAAAATCGGCATAGAATCTTGAAAAGACGAAAACAATGAATTAAAGGTTTAGGGTTAATTTAGTATGAACATCGTAATCTTATGTTTGGACACAATATGGTAAGAGTTAAATGGTGAGTGTCTAATCAAAAAAAATGTTGTTCATCATTGTTGTTTAAAGAAAGAAGATTGTCTCTCACATCAGCTATAAATAAAGAGTGTCATTGATAGTTGATCACCATGAAATAGAGAGAAATACAGAGAAAGCTTAGAGTGAGAGTTGAGTTGAGTAGAGTAGAGAAGTTTTTCTCCTCCTCCTTGTTTTTGTTGTTTGTATTGCTTTTGAGCTTGATTAATACAAACTAGTAGCTCCATGGAGTAGGCAAGTTGTCGAACCACGTAAATTGATGTGTGTTTGAATGCTTGAATGTCCTAACAACTGGTATCAGAGCTCGTTCTTGAAAAAGAGGGTGTTTGATCCAAACTCAAAAATCAAAGTTCTCAAAACGTGTTTTTGAACATACCATCATGAAGAGAAAGACTAGAGGAAGACTAGAGGAATCCATTGGTGAAAACACGGCAAAAAACCAACGTCTTGCATGCCAACACGCACCTGCACGCACCATCACCAGCATTGCCCACGCGTCACGCGTCTTCCTCGCCCGTTTCCTGCAACCTGAGCCGGGTTGACCTGACACTTCAGCAGCCACGCAAGCAGTTATGCACAGCCAGCAACCACGTCACCTTCCACGTCAGCTGCCACTTCATCCCTGCCACGCCAGCAAAAAATACATGTGGTTCTGCCACGTCAGAATTGTGGGGCTCGCATATCTTACGTGGCTGACATGTCAACATATTCAAGTTAGCATTTTGGGTTTTGATCCAGTGTGGTGCAGCGACTATTACTCCTACCACGTGGCTTCATCTGTAGCGTCCAGTGATCTCAAAGTTTGATTGTTTAAATTTGAGCCATCCGAAGTCCGATTTGGATGATCTTAGTGTCGTTTCTAATATTTTTTGCCATTCCAGACACATCTGTAAGGTCAGATTTTACAGATTTGAATCCAAGAAAGATTAAAAATGGCTGATGAAATAAAGGTTGCGGGAATTGAAAAATTTGATGGAACTAATTTTGGATATTGGAAAATGCAAATTAAAGACTATCTATATGGGAAGAAACTTCATCTTCCTCTGTTGGGGAGCAAACCAGAAAACATGTCAGAAGAAGATTGGCAAATTCTTGATAGACAAGTTTTGGGCATTATCCGGCTATCCCTGTCAAGAATAGTTGCTCATAATGTTATAAAAGAGAAATCCACAGCAAGATTGATGGAAGCCTTGTCTGGGATATATGAGAAGCCATCAGCAAATAACAAAGTGCACTTGATGAAGAAGCTGTTCAACCTGAAGATGACAGAAAACACCTCTGTTACACAGCATCTTAATAATTTCAACACCATCACAAATCAATTGTCATCCGTTGAAATTGAGTTTGATGATGAGATCCGAGCACTTATTTTGCTAGCTTCACTTCCAAGCAGTTGGGAAGGTATGAGAATAGCCGTAAGTAACTCAGCCGGAAAATCCAAATTAAAATATGATGACATCCGAGATC